TTTTTTTTTATTAACATTGCACAGACAAGTTGAATTTTATAGAGTGAAAAATGATTCATGGTCCCGCACTTTGATAGTTTGATACGTTTTTCACAAATCTATAACCTGTCATGTCTTATGCATTTAGAACTGTCTTAATTCTTCATGGCACCGACTGAACTAAGCGTAGGTTTCCTCACAGATTTTGGTCCATGGCTGCTGGCTGATGGTCAATCCAGCTGGAAGCTGCGGTACCATCAGTATAATGACAGTAACATGGGTTGCTCTGATCTGTTTAAACACTGACTAGGAAAACTGAGCAATACATACTTTAAAATATGAAAATATGAGTTTTTTAACAGATATTTACCTTGATTATGTATTACAAACATCAGCCATCCATAACCTTAGCATGTTTTTATGTGTATAAGCTCCATTGACAAACCACATCTCAGTGAATTTACTCTTTAATTTGGAATTAATGTTCATGCAAATCGAGACAATGTAGGGCTTAACACTGAATACAACCCTAATGCTACTAATGCTGTTATTGGTATAATGTTCAGAAATATTTCAAATAAGCAAGGTCTTAATGGAATATTTAGCGGTATAATATTATTTATGAGACTATGAGAGATTATATTGATGCTACTGAGAGTGTGCACTTTAGCAGCACACTATACTTTTAAGCATTAAATTCTGCTAAACAAAGTTGTCTACTCAAATGAGTACAAAACTGTAAAACACTATAAAGGTAAAGAAAATCCAGCCTTCTACAGTATGCATCCTGCTTTGTCCAATTAAGACTCCCGGCACCACACATTTACTGCCCCACTCCTTACAACAGCCCAAGCTTACATATGGAATTTTTTATGACCCTTATCTGGCTCAGCATGTGGCAAGACAGGTTTGCTCAAAGCCACAGCATGCCAACTGGGCAAAAGTTTTAAAAATATAATTTTCCCTCAGTGGTGAAGAATTGTTAAGAAACACAATTCCTGTAGTTATATGTCAGCAGACATTGCATGTCTTTTTCTTTGCTGCTTCTGGCTTGTATCCCTCTTACGTGACCTGAATAAGTAACTATGTACACTACTGGCTGAAAAAAAGGGGAAGAGACTGCTTTAGGTTCCTGTCACCTGCACTTAGCCTCAAAAGCTGTGGTACAGCTGTACACTCCACACAGTGCACAACAGGGAGTTGTGTTTTTTTTTATTTTCTTTTTGACATTGTGTACTTTCTTCTGCACCTTCACCCAAATGAGCTATATTTCATATAAATGGCTCAAAGCATAAATAACAAAAATAAAATTAGGGAACAAGTCTGTTAAACTTCAGGGGGTGTCAAGCTGACCAGTTAGGCAGCACTAGTCATTGTGAATCAATTTGACATCCTTTGGTGCAAAAGAAACAGGTACCAACATGTCTGTCCACTGGAGAGGAAACGACAAGATCAAAAGAAATGGTTTTGCAGTTGGTAGCCTGCTCACTCCTTATCCTGACTAATTGTTTCCTATTTTTACTTTCTACTAATGTATGAGACAAATACTAGCATGAGATGGTACCTGCAGCTCATTGAGATAGCACTGGTACTCCAGTTCCTCTAAAATGATACATCTATACATGCTGTAGAGGAGATAAACCAGGGCCACGGATGAGCATCAACCCGGCAAACAGGACTTGCATCTGTTCCTTTGTGTTTCAGAACAAACTGTCAGAATCAGCCTCCATCAGGGTGACATGAGGTCCTTCCTTGGGACCTGTGTTCAAAGCTCAGCACAGTGCAGCGTGATTTGCTTTTCCCAGAGAACATTAAAACTGGCAGGTCCACTGCTGGCACCTCATTTACTTCACAGATGAGAGAAGGTTCCCACTGAGCACACGTAACAGATGTCAAGAAGTTTTTAGGCACAAACTTGTTATTGCACTGTCATGGTCCTGGGTCGAGCGACCCAGTGTTTGAGTTTT